ATGTTTTGTAGCAGCCGTAACGGGGACACCGTAGTTTGTTTTCTAAATAAGTTTAACTAATACAAATCGCGATTTGAACCGTTAAAATCTGAAAAATGTGTATTACTGCTCTGGTATTACCAATACTAATGGTAGCAATTACTAAATTCGATTCCCACCAGGTCCAATATGTTTGTTATTAATTAATGATTTGTTTGAAAACATCTGGAAAATCTGGATATCGACCACTATCCATCGTCTAAAGATTTGTACGAAAATTAATATTAATAGTAAAAAAACACCTTACACTGATAAGAAAAAAAAACAAACTCAGTTTTAACGCGATATATTACGTTAAACTAATATATCGCCTTTTAAACTGTGTACTACTCGCGTAAACTAAAGACAGTATTTTACAAACCCAGTGCTAAATGGCATAAGATTTTTGTTCTCAGGAAGGCTAGCTAAGCGCTGATAAGGGGTTGTCCATTAATCACGTGACCTTTTTTTAGAATTTTTAAACCCCCTCTCCCCCATTGGACGTGGACGTGTGTTTTCCCTTCCGCGCCCTGCGGGGCGCGGGTTTCTTGATCAGCCCTGTCGGGCTCCGCAAGGGGTGATCTAGCGCGCCTTGCTAATACAAGGCGGTCTCTGGGTTCTAGTAGGTGGTTGTGAACGCCCTCGCGTCTCGCGGTCAAGCACCGCCGGGTGAGACCCCGGTAACCCCGGGGAGGCCCAGCGAGGCGACCAGCGGACGAAGGCGCGGGATCGGCGTTCGAGGTCAAATCCGGTGATGTGGTGTTTCACTGACTGTTGCCGTCTGCTGCTGTGGGGGAGGAGACGGGGAGTCGGGAGGGGAGAGGAGGTACCTACGCAGTAGCGGGAATATTATCCTAACATAATATAAATAGGTATAAACTATAATCTTATTTTATTCTGAAATTAAGGACCATAATAAAAATATCTACACCATTTGTTTAAAAATCGCGCGTTTGACGAAAAAATAAATACACGAGATATCTTACTACACCCCCCCCCCTCCCCCCTTGTGTTATTTTCGTGATTTTTATCAAACCCCTCCCCCCCCTTTCAAGCCTCACGTGATTAATGGACAACCCCTAAGACCCTTATCAGTTAATTTAAAAAATTAAACATTCTGGAAAAGTTGTGGAACAAACGTTAAACGATTGTAATTATTTAATCTATACTAATATATAAAGCTGAACACGTCTGTTTGTCTGTTTGAAGGCACTAATCTTAAGAGCTACTATTACGAATTGAAAAATACTTCTTGTGTTGCTTAGAGCATTTATCGAGGAAGGCCATAGGCTATAAAACATCGCGCTGTAACTAATAGATGCGATAAAGCAGCGGGGTGTGAGGAAAAAACGGGGGGAATTTTCATCTCTGTGCATTTCCGATGCGTACGCTGCGAAAACGGATCTCGAGACCTACCAAAAAAATGTATGTAAGAATATAGCTCTGGAGAGATTTGCAAAACAAATTTGGATGTCCAAATTAACTATTCTATGCGGACGAAGTCGCTGTCACAGCTAGTATTTTATACATATACTGCGCTTTTACTTGACTGCTAAGATTTCCAATTGATAAAATCTAATTCTCACCCGAAAACCGAATGATTTAAGGTCAAATTGTTATCTTTACGATCGCGTATTTTAGAGCAATTTACACCTTATTGGATTGTAATAAGAACGATATTGCCTCGTAGGGATAAGGGGAAAATTCACTTCTTGGTCACGTTTCGTCGCTAGATCAGAGCGGCTAGTTGAATAGAATTTTGTGATTCTCTTTCACGTTTTAGATAAATTATTTATGATTTGCGGCAATTACTTCTAATACTTTACTGTCTGTAATTCATGCGATTTGTACTCATTTAAACATTTTAACGGTTTAAAACGTGATGTATATTACTTAAACTTGTTTGAAAATGATTTAACTTCGGCTTGATGTAGTTAAAAGAAATTTTCAAATAGAGACGTCTCCCCGTGACCACGGCAGCTGCAAAGCAACCGAAACGTCGGGCCCTAGTCAAAATAATTTGAAATAAGTTTAACTAATATATTTTGCGATTTTAAACAGTTAAAGTGTTTATTTAAATAATGAGGTCTGACTGAAGAAACACTTTCGATTACAGGAGTTTGGTCGACATTACAAGTATTGTCTGTAATTTACGAGAGTAGTATATTTAAATAAAACTCTTTTACCGGTGTAAAACACGAAGTTTACACAAATGAAGAAGCCGTAGTACATTTCAACGAGTTCAGTTTCAATCTGTGGATTTCCGAAATCATAGCCAAAATATCGGCGCATCTTGTTTAGTGTTCCATGGAGTTTCACCAGCAGGTGTGGGCTTAGAAACACGTTAGACCCTGGGGATCTGACCCGACCCGTTTATTAATACGCGTTACATAACGATCTCGTCAAATCATGACATTTCGGGGGGGGGGGGGGGCGGCCGGACACTCGCGGTTAAAAGTGTTAACCTAAACTACTAAACTAACAGATAATACAAGTGTATGGTCTGTAACTGTCGTTAGGCAGACTATTGACGTGCCCTACGGTTTTATTTTAGTCTAGTCTATGCATGTTTATAATTCCCACGACTGTATCTATTTTATTATTTTTTGGTTTTTAGTACATTTATCTTAAACATTGCAATGTATGTTTAACATAAAACCGTTCAAATTAAAAAGTGTTTTTTACCTATTTTTATTTTCTAGTTTTTAGTTATATTTCGCATTCTGTTTAATTCATTTAGTGTTTGTTGGTACTTGTTGAGACCTTTCATTTGATACCCATGTTGGTGGGATTGATGAAAACTACGTTATCCGCCATTTTGTAGAGGCCGCCATCTTGGATGAAATTTGACCCAAGAATAAAAAAAACAAACGGGGTGAGCATAAAAATAATAGACATAGCTCCAAAATTAACAATAATCGATATAATACGATATTGATGTTTTTAATTAACGCAAACGCAAGAACGACTTTCCCCCGAGACACAGAAACTCATTTCGAGATAATGTTCGTCTGTAATTGTCTGATAAATCACAATAAAATTGTTCCTTTATCATCCCTCCGAGATGTCTACAGGTATAGCAGACACATATATATATATATTTTGATATAGAGAAGGAAAGATCAAGCATGAAGTTCACTTGATGGTAGGTAACCCAAGACATATCTAAGTAAGATGTGCTATCGACCTATTTAGGCTTCGGAATTTCAAAAACAGACTGCGACCGAAACGCGGTTACACTTGACGGCTTTTTCCTCTATGGTTCGGTCCTACCACACATTTAATGTCCAGATTTCCAGATCATGTAAAACATGTTTTCGAAAAATTATATATTGATTAGAAAAATATTGGAACCGGTGGGGATCGCACCCACGACCCCTTATTAGCCATTAGACCAAAGAAGTCAAAATCGTTATTTGCTTGTTTGACGGGTACAGTTATGTGTCTGTTTTGCTCATTTGTTGTATGTAACGTTCGGAAATATTTCACAATATTGGCACATTTGCGAAGAAGCTTGAATTTTTTTTACTAAAATTAATAATACCAATATTATGTAATTTGTTTGTCCTTTGTGTAAGGAATGAGGTGATAATTAAAAATTGGTTACCACTTGAGCTACCGAGTCCTCGCGCAACGTAATGTCAACCTTAACATAACCTCATTAAGGTTGATATTCAATGTGTTATGCTTTGCAATTCAAGAAAATCATTGAAGATGGCGTTACAAAGATTTTTACGTTTGAAAACTTTTATATTTTTCACGTGTTTTTGCACATGATAGCACAATATACATTAAAAAATCGATAATGAAATAAAACACTTCAACGGTTTAAAACGCGATATATTTTAGTTTCGGATGCTTTGCCACAGCCGTGGTCACGGGGAGACGGAAAAGACGAAACAAGTTTAACTAAATATATCGGGTTTTAAACCGTTAAAGTGTTTTATAAATGTGTAGTCTTATTTTAAACGATAATAAATTAAAAAAACAATTAATCGACTTTTAATTGTATAGTGCCACCATGTGCAATAATATTGAATTTTTTTATTAATACTAATAAAAACAATGAAAGGGGAATTCCTTTTGTTATTATAAAAGATATTTCTCTGAACAATAAAGATATTTCGTCAGACATATTGGAAAATGATAAAAACAATATCTAATCTACGTAACAGACTGTGGGTGGTAACAATTATCACTGCGCTGGAGACCTTTTTTGTTCTGAAGGTAAAACAGATTAAAATATGCTGTAATTGTAAAATACTCGATTCGTTGTATCAAAGAAATAGTTAACTGTTTGTTTGTTTGAACGCGCTAATATCAAGAACTACTGGTTCGAATTGTAAAAAGTAGTTTTGTGTTGGTTAGAGCATTTATCGAGGTGTGAAATGTCCACGACACTATATATATATGTCTATCATTTAAGATGAACTCACAAAGTTGATTACCCAAAATAACTATTCCACGCGGACGAAGTCGCTAACAAACCTAGTTATTATGAATCTTTATATGCATCGTAGATATAACGATTATTTATTAATAGCGTTTCTTCGTTTCGGTTTGTCCGAGCGTTTATCCAAAGCCAACATAGGTCAACATCACATTCGGTTCAAATTTTATATAACTGTTACTTCCCTCCAGTACTTCACATTTCCCAGTAAACCCAAGCTTGCCTGTCCTCAAAACCTCTTAATCACGTAAGCGGCTTTTGGAGACGCTACCGTTAAACTGTTATGATTATCAGAATTTTTCGGATATCATTATGACAACATAAGTTTTATAATCTCTCTATAGTATAATTGCGAACGTATCATATAATCTTGCATTCACATAGTGATCGAATAAATGATATCTTATCCATCAACGATCTGAATTCGCGTTTCGTCACTATTTACAGTAACGACGACAAGTATTTAAGCTTTTCTCCGCAACGATGTGACTCAGTACTTGTAACGAATTCAGACAAACAGCCCCCAAGCACAATGGGTCAGACATGCGAGAAGCCGACCGATGTGAGGTCTTCAGCCCTGGAACTCATCGGCAACACCCCTTTAGTTGCCCTAGACCGATTATACTCTGGACCCGGGAGGTTACTCGCAAAATGCGAATTCATGAATCCGGGTGGTTCCATCAAATGCCGTGCATCGTACCACATGATACAGAAAGCTCGTCTCCGCGGCGAGTTGAAACCTGGCGACCCAGTGATAGAAGCCACTTCGGGGAACCAGGGATGCGGGCTGGCAGTCGCTTGCGCTGTCCTCGGCCACCCCCTGACTTTGACCATGTCTAAAGGAAACACGGTTCAGCGAGCCATTCACATGGAAGCGCTGGGAGCTACATGCATCAGAGTCCCCCAAGTCGAAGGTACGTACGGTCATGTAACCAACGCGGATCTGATGGCAGCGAAGGATGAGGCGATAGCGCTGCAGCAGAAAACCGGAGCGTTCTTCGTCAAACAGTTCCTCAACGATGACAATGTTGAAGCGCACTATACTTCAACTGGACCAGAGATTTGGCAACAGACCGGAAATCGAGTGAGCGCTTTCGTAACAGCCGTCGGCACTTCCGGAACATTTATGGGAGTATCTAAGTACCTGAAGAAACAGAATCCTAAAATACAGTGCTATGTTGTTGAGCCGGAAGGTTGTGAACCAATAAAGGGAAAGCCAATAACCAAAGCGTCCAACACGCTCCAGGGTTCGAGTTATGGAGTTGTTCCAGATCTCTTCAAATATGAATGCATGGACGCGACGATAACAGTGACGGATGAAGAGGCAGAGGAATATAGGGAGTTGATAGGGAAGAAGGAAGGTCTCTACGTGGGGTACACAAGTGGTGCTAACGTCTGCGCAGCGGTGAAGTTGCTTAAATCTGGTAAGCTACCGAAGAATGCGTGGGTGGTGACCATCCTCTTCGACACCGGGCTGAAGTATACGCCCGTACCTGAATCTTTAATGTGATCGAATATAGGTTGTAGGCTTTTGAAGTATTGTTAAGTTTGCGTAAGTTACAAAACTTTTAACGGTTTAAAACTTTAAATATTCGTAACCGCGATGCAGCAAAACGTCAACCACATTAGTTCGCAGTTATAAGTTATAGATTTCGCGTTTTAGACCGTTAAAAGAATTTATAGGAATTAATAGTATTAGTAGAAAATTAGGAATTGTTATGTTTGTAGTTTAGCCGAGTAGTACACATTTAACTAAAACACTTTAACGGTTTAAAACGCGATATATAATATTAGTTACCTTAATTTATTCAATTATCCGTTTCAAACCGCGTAATTTTATGTACACAACTTATTATGTAAGCGTATTAATGTAACTATGTTTTATTAAATTTAGGATACAATTTAAATATTGTTTAATACTTAATGTCAGATATTAATTTTTGTAAAGGATTTAATTTAATTCGGTCCAAATACGTTGCTTAATTTCGTTTTTAGAAATCAAGGTTTAACGAAGTTTAATTAAAATTTCATTATTTTGAGCTTTAATTAAATCCAAAATTGAATGAAAAAATGTACAACATCAATTTACGTTACATAGATCTTTAACTATTAAAGTAAGTAATTATATTATTATTTTGTTAAAAAAATAATAATTCTTATTATAAGTGTACGGTGCCGAAGACTATTTATAATTATATAACTAATAATTATTATTTAAATTAATTTATATTTTAATTTAAAACATTAATATTATGGCATTATATAAATTGATAATCCTAAGATTTAAAAATTACGACACGAGCGGGATTCGAACCGGCATCCACAGCTTTCCATTCTTGCTTTAAGCAATTGTGTTCGTTAACTCAATATGTTCTTATGTAAATAGATTTTTAATTTATTCCACTATTAAAAATAAGAATCTTTAAAAAATATTTATTTTTTCTATTTATCCACAAATTGTCATAGTTTATATTTTTCACAATATATACGTGTCTTTGAACAAAATAATAAATTTGATATCCATTAAAAATGTGTTTTTTTAATGACAAAACATAATTTACCGTTAAATAATAGATTCGCTGCCTACGAAAATTGTTGAGGGATTTAAATCAAATTTGATTCAAGCTATTTAAAATCTTCTTTAAACGGTGGCCACGGCTAAGTGGTGCCCAGTATTGTGAGGTCCTGAGTTCGAATCCCAGGAAGACAATAAAATTGCTTTAGTTGGACAGGGCAGCTGCTATTGCTAGCTGCTGTCGCTAGCTGCTGTCGCTAGCTGCTGTCGCTAGCTGCTGTCGCAGTTGTTGGTCTTGATCAAGGGGGGGGGGGGGAGGGGGGGGGGGGGGGGGGGGGGGGGTGGGTTCGAATCCCAGGAAGACACTAAAATGTTATGGAGGGAGTTGCTAGCTGCTGTCGCTAGCTGCTGTCGCTAGCTGCTGTCGCTAGCTGCTATCGCCAGCTGGTCGCTAGTTAATAATAGATTCGCTGCCTACGAAAATTGTTAAGGGATTTAAATCAAATTTGATTCAAGCTATTTATAATCTTCTTTAAACGGTGGCCACGGCTAAGTGGTGCCCAGTATTGTGAGGTCCTGAGTTCGAATCCCAGGAAGACAATAAAATTGCTTTAGTTGGACAGGGCAGCTGCTATTGCTAGCTGCTGTCGCTAGCTGCTGTCGCTAGCTGCTGTCGCTAGCTGCTGTCGCTAGCTGCTATCGCCAGCTGGTCGCTAGTTAATAATAGATTCGCTGCCTACGAAAATTGTTAAGGGATTTAAATCAAATTTGATTCAAGCTATTTATAATCTTCTTTAAACGGTGGCCACGGCTAAGTGGTGCCCAGTATTGTGAGGTCCTGAGTGTCGAATCCCAGGAAGACAATAAAATTGCTTTAGTTGGACAGGGCAGCTGCTATTGCTGCTAGCTGCTGTGCTAGCGCTGTCGCTAGCTGCTGTCGCTAGCGCCGCCAGCCCAAAAAAAAAAAAAAAAAAAAAAAAAATGCTAGCTGCTGTCGCTAGCTGCTGTTGCTAGCTGCTGTCGCTAGCTGCTGTCGCTAGCTGCTATCGCCAGCTGGTCGCTAGTTAATAATAGATTCGCTGCCTACGAAAATTGTTAAGGGATTTAAATCAAATTTGATTCAAGCTATTTATAATCTTTTTTAAACGGTGGCCACGGCTAAGTGGTGCCCAGTATTGTGAGGTCCTGAGTTCGAATCCCAGGAAGACAATAAAATTGCTTTAGTTGGACAGGGCAGCTGCTATTGCTAGCTGCTGTCGCTAGCTGCTGTCGCTAGCTGCTGTCGCTAGCTGCTGTCGCTAGCTGCTATCGCCAGCTGGTCGCTAGTTAATAATAGATTCGCTGCCTACGAAAATTGTTAAGGGATTTAAATCAAATTTGATTCAAGCTATTTATAATCTTTTTTAAACGGTGGCCACGGCTAAGTGGTGCCCAGTATTGTGAGGTCCTGAGTTCGAATCCCAGGAAGACAATAAAATTGCTTTAGTTGGACAGGGCAGCTGCTATTGCTAGCTGCTGTCGCTAACTGCTGTCGCTAGCTGCTATCGCCAGCTGGTCGCTAGTTAATAATAGATTCGCTGCCTACGAAAATTGTTAAGGGATTTAAATCAAATTTGATTCAAGCTATTTATAATCTTTTTTAAACGGTGGCCACGGCTAAAGTGGTGCCCAGTATTGTGAGGTCGCTGAGTTCGAATCCCAGGAAGACAATAAAATTGCTTTAGTTGTGGACAGGGCTAGCTGCTGTTGCTAGTGCTGTGCTGCTGCTGTCGCTAGCTGCTATCGCCAGCTGGTCGCTAGTTAATAATAGATTCGCTGCCTACGAAAATTGTTAAGGGATTTAAATCAAATTTGATTCAAGCTATTTATAATCTTCTTTAAACGGTGGCCACGGCTAAGTGGTGCCCAGTATTGTGAGGTCCTGAGTTCGAATCCCAGGAAGACAATAAAATTGCTTTAGTTGGACAGGGCAGCTGCTATTGCTAGCTGCTGTCGCTAGCTGCTGTCGCTAGCTGCTGTCGCTAGCTGCTGTCGCTAGCTGCTATCGCCAGCTGGTCGCTAGTTAATAATAGATTCGCTGCCTACGAAAATTGTTAAGGGATTTAAATCAAATTTGATTCAAGCTATTTATAATCTTCTTTAAACGGTGGCCACGGCTAAGTGGTGCCCAGTATTGTGAGGTCCTGAGTTCGAATCCCAGGAAGACAATAAAATTGCTTTAGTTGGACAGGGCAGCTGCTATTGCTAGCTGCTGTCGCTAGCTGCTGTCGCTAGCTGCTGTCGCTAGCTGCTATCGCCAGCTGGTCGCTAGTTAATAATAGATTCGCTGCCTACGAAAATTGTTAAGGGATTTAAATCAAATTTGATTCAAGCTATTTATAATCTTTTTTAAACGGTGGCCACGGCTAAGTGGTGCCCAGTATTGTGAGGTCCTGAGTTCGAATCCCAGGAAGACAATAAAATTGCTTTAGTTGGACAGGGCAGCTGCTATTGCTAGCTGCTGTCGCTAGCTGCTGTCGCTAGCTGCTGTCGCTAGCTGCTGTCGCTAGCTGCTATCGCCAGCTGGTCGCTAGTTAATAATAGATTCGCTGCCTACGAAAATTGTTAAGGGATTTAAATCAAATTTGATTCAAGCTATTTATAATCTTTTTTAAACGGTGGCCACGGCTAAGTGGTGCCCAGTATTGTGAGGTCCTGAGTTCGAATCCCAGGAAGACAATAAAATTGCTTTAGTTGGACAGGGCAGCTGCTATTGCTAGCTGCTGTCGCTAGCTGCTGTTGCTAGCTGCTGTCGCTAGCTGCTGTCGCTAGCTGCTATCGCCAGCTGGTCGCTAGTTAATAATAGATTCGCTGCCTACGAAAATTGTTAAGGGATTTAAATCAAATTTGATTCAAGCTATTTATAATCTTTTTTAAACGGTGGCCACGGCTAAGTGGTGCCCAGTATTGTGAGGTCCTGAGTTCGAATCCCAGGAAGACAATAAAATTGCTTTAGTTGGACAGGGCAGCTGCTATTGCTAGCTGCTGTCGCTAGCTGCTGTCGCTAGCTGCTATCGCCAGCTGGTCGCTAGTTAATAATAGATTCGCTGCCTACGAAAATTGTTAAGGGATTTAAATCAAATTTGATTCAAGCTATTTATAATCTTCTTTAAACGGTGGCCACGGCTAAGTGGTGCCCAGTATTGTGAGGTCCTGAGTTCGAATCCCAGGAAGACAATAAAATTGCTTTAGTTGGACAGGGCAGCTGCTATTGCTAGCTGCTGTCGCTAGCTACTGTCGCTAGCCGCTGTCGCTAGCCGCTGTCGCTAGCCGCTGTCGCTAGCCGCTGTCGCTAGCCGCTGTCGCTAGCCGCTGTCGCTAGCCGCTGGCGCTAGCCGCTGGCGCTAGCCGCTGGCGCTAGCCGCTGTCGCTAGCCGCTGGCGCTAGCCGCTGGCGCTAGCCGCTGTCGCTAGCCGCTGGCGCTAGCCGCTGTCGCTAGCTGGTCGCTAGTTAATAATAGATACGAAAATTGTTGAGGCGATTTAAATCAAATTTGGTTCAAGCTATTTATAATCTTCTTTAAACGGTGGCCACGGCTAAGTGGTGCCCAGTATTGTGAGGTCCTGAGTTGAATCCAGAAAACAATAAAAATTTCTTTAGTTGGACAGGGCAGCTGCTATTGCTAGCTGCTGTCGCTAGCTACTGTCGTAGCCGTGTGCTAGCGCGTAGCCGCTGTCGCTAGCCGCTGTCGCTAGCCGCTGGCGCTAGCCGCTGGCGCTAGCCGTGGCGCTCGCTGGCGCTAGCCGCATCGCTAGCCGCTGGCGCTAGCCGCTGGCGCTAGCCGCTTGCTGGCCGTTGTCGCTAGCCGCTGGCGCTAGCCGCTGTCGCTAGCCGCTGTCGCTAGGCCGCTGGGCGTAGCCGCTGTCGCTAGCCGCTGGCGCTAGCCGCTGGCGCTAGCTGCTGTCGCACAGGGCAGCTGCTATTGCTAGCTGCTGTCGCTAGCTACTGTCGCTAGC